CCAGAGTAATAGGGGCGCCAGAGTAATAGGGGGCCAGAGTAATAGGGCGCCAGAGTAATAGAGAGCCAGAGTAATAGGGGGCCAGAGTAATAGGGCGCCAGAGTAATAGGGGGGGCCAGAGTAATAGGGGGCCAGAGTAATAGGGGGCCAGAGTAATAGGGCGCCAGAGTAATAGGGCGCCAGAGTAATAGGGGGCCAGAGTAATAGGGGGCCAGAGTAATAGGGGGCCAGAGTAATAGGGGGCCAGAGTAATAGGGCGGCCAGAGTAATAGGGGGCCAGAGTAATAGGGCGCCAGAGTAATAGGGGGCCAGAGTAATAGGGGGCCAGAGTAATAGGGGCGCCAGAGTAATAGGGCGCCAGAGTAATAGGGGGCCAGAGTAATAGGGCGCCAGAGTAATAGGGGGCCAGAGTAATAGGGCGCCAGAGTAATAGGGGGCCAGAGTAATAGGGGGCCAGAGTAATAGGGGGCCAGAGTAATAGGGGCGCCAGAGTAATAGGGGGCCAGAGTAATAGGGGGCCAGAGTAATAGGGGGCCAGAGTAATAGGGCGCCAGAGTAATAGGGGGCCAGAGTAATAGGGGGCCAGAGTAATAGGGCGCCAGAGTAATAGGGGGCCAGAGTAATAGGGCGCCAGAGTAATAGGGGGCGCCAGGGTAATAGGGGGCCAGAGTAATAGGGAGCCAGAGTAATAGGGGGCCAGAGTAATAGGGGGCCAGAGTAATAGGGCGCCAGAGTAATAGGGGGCCAGAGTAATAGGGCGCCAGAGTAATAGGGGGCCAGAGTAATAGGGCGCCAGAGTAATAGGGGGCCAGAGTAATAGGGGGCCAGAGTAATAGGGCGCCAGAGTAATAGGGCGCCAGAGTAATAGGGGGCCAGAGTAATAGGGCGCCAGAGTAATAGGGGGCCAGAGTAATAGGGGCGCCAGGGTAATAGGGGGCCAGAGTAATAGGGAGCCAGAGTAATAGGGGGCCAGAGTAATAGGGCGCCAGAGTAATAGGGGGCCAGAGTAATAGGGCGCCAGAGTAATAGGGGGCCAGAGTAATAGGGGTGCCAGAGTAATAGGGGGCCAGAGTAATAGGGGGCCAGAGTAATAGGGGGCCAGAGTAATAGGGCGCCAGAGTAATAGGGGGCCAGAGTAATAGGGGCCAGAGTAATAGGGCGCCAGAGTAATAGGGGGCCAGAGTAATAGGGGGCCAGAGTAATAGGGGCGTAATAGGGAGCCAGAGTAATAGGGCGCCAGAGTAATAGGGGGCCAGAGTAATAGGGGGCCAGAGTAATAGGGGCCAAAATAATAGGGAGCCAGAGTAATAGGGGGCTAGAGTAATAGGGGGGCCAGAGTAATAGGGCGCCAGAGTAATAGGGGGCCAGAGTAATAGGGGAGCCAGAGTAATTGGGGGCCAGAGTAATAGGGGGCCAGAGTAATAGGGGGCCAGAGTAATAGGGGAGCCAGAGTAATAGGGGGCCAGAGTAATAGGGGGGCCAGAGTAATAAGGGCGCTAGAGTAATAGGGGGCCAGAATAATAGGGGAGCCAGAGTAATAGGGGAGCCAGAGTAATAGGGGAGCCAGAGTAATAGGGGAGCCAGAGTAATAGGGGAGCCAGAGTAATAGGGGGCCAGAGTAATAGGGGGCCAGAATAATAGGGGAGCCAGAGTAATAGGGGGCCAGAGTAATAGGGCGCCAGAGTAATAGGGGGCCAGAGTAATAGGGGGCCAGGGTAATAGGGGAGCCAGAGTAATAGGGGAGCCAGAGTAATAGGGGGCCAGAGTAATAGGGGGCCAGAATAATAGGGGAGCCAGAGTAATAGGGGGCCAGAGTAATAGGGGGCCAGAGTAATAGGGGAGCCAGAGTAATAGGGGGCCAGAGTAATAGGGCGCCAGAATAATAGGGGAGCCAGATAGGTACAATCAGTGAGCTAGGAGACTCCTCTTCAGTAATAAGAGAGTTATAGATATATCGGCTGGTCCAAGATATCACATTCCTGGCCTCAAGCCGGGCTGGAGAGGGGACTTAATCGAGGACCGGGCCGCGGGGACGCTAAGCCCCGAAATCATCTCAAAGATAACCCTAAGATAACTTGATACCAACACATAACCCCGCCTCAGTGGACCAATAAGATAACTGTATGCAATAACCGAAGCATTCTAAGCTGACTTTCGCATGCTGGTAAGCTTTTGATAAAGTGAAATGCTGCATAACTTAGTTCGCTAAGCTCTTAAACAGTATGGTACCAAGAATCCACAGTGTACAGTAAACTTGTTAGTATTCCGGTCTGTTTGTGGCAGTAACAACCTTGTGTTGTGAAGTTCTGAAGCTTGTAAACCGTTTACAAATGTAAACAACGCTGCCATGTCTGTGGAAAGATTTACACTTTTCGTAAATGGTCTATTTTGCACGACTCCTGGTCCTATCCCTTGGAGGAAATTGACAGTCCATAACCCAAACTCCAGGTGTTTGGGAAGTGATTTCCCAGTTGTTTCCCGTAAGGGGGGGGGATACATGTTGTTGCTAGGTCTTGTAGGGGGGATACATGTTGTTGCTAGGTCTTGTAGGGGGGATACATGTTGTTGCTAGGTACATGTGTAGGTCTTGTAGGGGGATACATGTTGTTGCTAGCTTGTAGGGGGGATACATGTTGTTGCTAGGTCTTGTAGGGGGGATACATGTTGTTGCTAGGTCTTGTAGGGGGGATACATGTTGTTGCTAGGTCTTGTAGGAGGGATACATGTTGTTGCTAGGTCTTGTAGGGGGGATACATGTTGTTGCTAGGTCTTGTAGGGGGGATACATATTGTTGCTAGGTCTTGTAGGGGGGATACATGTTGTTGCTAGGTCTTGTAGGAGGGATACATGTTGTTGCTAGGTCTTGTAGGGGGGATACATGTTGTTGCTAGGTCTTGTAGGAGGGATACATGTTGTTGCTAGGTCTTGTAGGGGGGATACATGTTGTTGCTAGGTCTTGTAGGGGGGATACATGTTGTTGCTAGGTCTTGTAGGGGGGATACATGTTGTTGCTAGGTCTTGTAGGGGGGATACATGTTGTTGCTAGGTCTTGTAGGGGGGATACATGTTGTTGCTAGGTCTTGTAGGGGGGATACATGTTGTTGCTAGGTCTTGTAGGGGGGATACATGTTGTTGCTAGGTCTTGTAGGAGGGATACATGTTGTTGCTAGGTCTTGTAGGGGGGATACATGTTGTTGCTAGGTCTTGTAGGAGGGATACATGTTGTTGCTAGGTCTTGTAGGAGGGATACATGTTGTTGCTAGGTCTTGTAGGGGGGATACATGTTGTTGCTAGGTCTTGTAGGGGGGATACATGTTGTTGCTAGGTCTTGTAGGGGGGATACATGTTGTTGCTAGGTCTTGTAGGGGGATACATGTTGTTGCTAGGTCTTGTAGGGGGATACATGTTGTTGCTAGGTCTTGTAGGGGGGATACATGTTGTTGCTAGGTCTTGTAGGGGGGATACATGTTGTTGCTAGGTCTTGTAGGAGGGATACATGTTGTTGCTAGGTCTTGTAGGGGGGATACATGTTGTTGCTAGGTCTTGTAGGAGGGATACATGTTGTTGCTAGGTCTTGTAGGAGGGATACATGTTGTTGCTAGGTCTTGTAGGAGGGATACATGTTGTTGCTAGGTCTTGTAGGAGGGATACATGTTGTTGCTAGGTCTTGTAGGGGGGATACATGTTGTTGCTAGGTCTTGTAGGAGGGATACATGTTGTTGCTAGGTCTTGTAGGAGGGATACATGTTGTTGCTAGGTCTTGTAGGGGGGATACATGTTGTTGCTAGGTCTTGTAGGAGGGATACATGTTGTTGCTAGGTCTTGTAGGGGGGATACATGTTGTTGCTAGGTCTTGTAGGGGGGATACATATTGTTGCTAGGTCTTGTAGGGGGGATACATGTTGTTGCTAGGTCTTGTAGGGGGGATACATATTGTTGCTAGGTCTTGTAGGGGGGATACATGTTGTTGCTAGGTCTTGTAGGGGGGATACATGTTGTTGCTAGGTCTTGTAGGGGGATACATGTTGTTGCTAGGTCTTGTAGGGGGGATACATATTGTTGCTAGGTCTTGTAGGGGGATACATAGGTCTTGTAGGGGGATACATATTGTTGCTAGGTCTTGTAGGGGGGATACATAGTGTTGCTAGGTCTTGTAGGGGGGATACATGTTGTTGCTAGGTCTTGTAGGAGGGATACATATTGTTGCTAGGTCTTGCAGGGGGGATACATATTGTTGCTAGGTCTAGTAGAGGGATACATAGTGGTTCTAGGTCTTGTAAGGGGGGATACATATTGTTGCTAGGTCTTGTAGGGGGATACATATTGTTGCTAGGTCTTGTAGGGGGGATACATATTGTTGCTAGGTCTTGTAGGGGGGATACATGTTGTTGCTAGGTCTTGTAGGGGGATACATATTGTTGCTAGGTCTTGTAGGGGGATACATATTGTTGCTAGGTCTTGTAGGGGGGATACATATTGTTGCTAGGTCTTGTAGGGGGATACATATTGTTGCTAGGTCTTGTAGGGGGGATACATGTTGTTGCTAGGTCTTGTAGGGGGATACATATTGTTGCTAGGTCTTGTAGGGGGATACATATTGTTGCTAGGTCTTGTAGGGGGGATACATATTGTTGCTAGGTCTTGTAGGGGGGATACATATTGTTGCTAGGTCTTGTAGGGGGGATACATATTGTTGCTAGGTCTTGAAGGGGGGGATACATGTTGTTCCTAAATCTTGCAGGGGGGATACATATTGTTGCTAGGTCTTGCAGGGGGATACATGTTGTTAATAATTCTTTGGACCTGGAGGGTGACCTAGGGGGGGCTGGGGGGGAGGTGGAGGGGGGCTGGGGGGTGACGCCCCCCACCATTGATGAGACATTCCCGTGTGTGCCAGACGTGACTGGCAGGCGGGAGTGAGGCTCCCCCCTCCCCCCCCTCCCACAGTGTTGACTGTGGGAGGGGTTCACCCCCCCCCCCCGGCCCTGTCTCCCACACAGCGCCTCCCGCCCTCAAGCACACTCCTCCCGCCCTCAAGCACACTCCTCCCGCCCTCAAGCACACTCCTCCCGCCCTCTAAGCACACTCCTCCCGCCCTCAAGCACACTCCTCCCGCCCTCAAGCATACTACTCCCGCCCTCAGGCACACTCCTCCCGCCCTCAAGCACACTCCTCCCGCCCTCAAGCATACTACTCCCGCCCTCAGGCACACTCCTCCCGCCCTCAAGCACACCCCTCCCGCCCTCAAGCATACTACTCCCGCCCTCAGGCACACTCCTCCCGCCCTCAAGCACACCCCTCCCGCCCTCAAGCATACTACTCCCGCCCTCAGGCACACTCCTCCCGCCCTCAAGCACACCCTCCCGCCCTCAAGCACACCCCTCCCGCCCTCAAGCATACTACTCCCGCCCTCAGGCACACTCCTCCCGCCCTCAAGCACACCCCTCCCGCCCTCAAGCATACTACTCCCGCCCTCAAGCATACTACTCCCGCCCTCAAGCATACTACTCCCGCCCTCAAGCACACCCCTCCCGCCCTCAAGCACACTACTCCCGCCCTCAGGCACACTCCTCCCGCCCTCAAGCACACTACTCCCGCCCTCAAGCACACTCCTCCCGCCCTCAAGCATACTACTCCCGCCCTCAGGCACACTCCTCCCGCCCTCAAGCACACCCCTCCCGCCCTCAAGCATACTACTCCCGCACTCAGGCACACTCCTCCCGCCCTCAAGCACACTCCTCCCGCCCTCAAGCATACTACTCCCGCCCTCAGGCACACTCCTCCCGCCCTCAAGCACACTACTCCCGCCCTCAAGCACACTCCTCCCGCCCTCAAGCATACTACCTCCCTCAGGCACACTCCTCCCGCCCTCAAGCACACCCCTCCCGCCCTCAAGCATACTACTCCCGCCCTCAGGCACACTCCTCCCGCCCTCAAGCACACTCCTCCCGCCCTCAAGCATACTACTCCCGCCCTCAGGCACACTCCTCCCGCCCTCAAGCACACTCCCGCCCTCAAGCACACTCCTCCCGCCCTCAAGCATACTACTCCCGCCCTCAGGCACACTCCCGCCCTCAAGCACACCCCTCCCGCCCTCAAGCATACTACTCCCTCAGGCACACTCCTCCCGCCCTCAAGCACACTACTCCCGCCCTCAAGCACACTGCTCCCGCCCTCAAGCACACTCCTCCCGCCCTCAAGCACACTCCTCCCGCCCTCAAGCACACTGCTCCCGCCCTCAAGCACACTACTCCCGCCCTCAAGCACACTCCTCCCGCCCTCAAGCACACTCCTCCCGCCCTCAAGCACTCTACTCCCGCCCTCAAGCACACTGCTCCCACCCTCAAGTACATTATTCCCGCCCTCAAGCACACTACTCCCGCCCTCAAGCACACTACTCCCGCCCTCAAGCACACTATTCCCGCCCTCAAGCACACTATTCCCGCCCTCAAGCACACTCCTCCCGCCCTCAAGTACATTATTCCCGCCCTCAAGCACACCCGCCCTAAACACACTACCCGCCCTCAAGCACACTCCTCCCGCCCTCAAGCACACTGCTCCCGCCCTCAAGCACACTGCTCCTTCCTTCAAGCACACTCCTCCCGCCCTCAAGCACACTCCTCCCGCTCTCAAGCACACTACTCCCGCCCTCAAGCACACTCTCCCGCCCTCAAGCACACTCGCCCTCAAGCACACTGCTCCTGCCTTCAAGCACCTCAAGCACACTGTTCCCGCCCTCAAGCACACTCGCCCGCCCTCAAGCACACTGCTCCTTCCTTCAAGCACACTCCTCCCGCCCTCAAGCACACTGCTCCCGCCCTCAAGCACACTACTCCCGCCCTCAAGCACATTTCTCCCGCCCTCAAGCACACTACTGCCGCCCTCAAGCACACTGCTCCCGCCCTCAAGCACACTGCTCCCGCCCTCAAGCACACTGCTCCCGCCCTCAAGCACACTCCTCCCGCCCTCAAGCACACTCCTCCCGCCCTCAAGCACACTGCTCCCGCCCTCAAGCACACTCGTCCCGCAATCAAGCACACTGCTCCTGCCTTCAAGCACACTCCTCCCGCCCTCCAGCACACTCGTCCCGCCCTCAAGCACACTGCTCCTTCCTTCAAGCACACTGCTCCCGCCCTCAAGCACACTACTCCCGCCCTCAAGCACACTACTCCCGCCCTCAAGCACACTACTCCCGCCCTCAAGCACACTGCTCCTGCCCTCAAGCACACTGCTCCCGCCCTCAAGTACACTCCTCCCGCCCTCAAGCACACTACTCCCGCCCTCAAGCACACTGCTCCTGCCCTCAAGCACACTCCTCCCGCCCTCAAGCACACTCCTCCCGCCCTCAAGCACACTGCTCCCGTCATCAAGCACACTGCCCTCAAGCACACTCCTCCCGCCCTCAAGCACACTCCTCCCGCCCTCAAGTACACTGCTCCTGCCCTCAAGCACACTCCTCCCGCCCTCAAGCACACTCCTCCCGCCCTCAAGTACACTCCTCCCGCCCTCAAGCACACTGCTCCCGCCCTCAAGCACACTGCTCCCGCCCTCAAGCACACTGCTCCCGCCCTCAAGCACACTGCTCCCGCCCTCAAGCACACTGCTCCCGTCATCAAGCACACTCCTCCCGCCCTCAAGCACACTTCTCCCGCCCTCAAGCACACTGCTCCCGCCCTCAAGCACACTGCTCCCGCCCTCAAGCCCCCGTGATCGCCTTGCTGTGCTTGTGAGCGTTGAACTTCCGTTCTATGGTTCTCGCCTCTCAACTGCCAGTTAATTGGTGTACTTTAATTGGTGAGCCTATTGGGCACTATCGTGTCCACACTTGAAACTGTATATTCACCTTGTTGTATTCACCTAGTTGTGCTTGCGGGGGTTGAGCATTGACAGTTGAGAGGCGGGCCGAAAGAGCAGAGCTCAACCCCCGAAAGTACAACTAGGTGAATACACACACACACACACAGAAAGCAGCCCGTAAAAGCTGTCTAACTCCCAGGTATCTATTTACTGCTAGGTGAACAGATGCTTCTGGGTCAAAGAAACTCTGCTCATTTGCTTCCACCAACGCCGGGAATCGATCCCTAGGATTATGAATCCAGAGCGCTGTCCGCTCAGCCACCAGGTCCCATGTGTGTTTATGTACTCACCTAATTGTGCTTGCGGGGGTTGAGTTCTGGCTCTTTGCTCCCGCCTCTGAACCGTCAATCAACAGGTGTACAGGTTCCTGAGCCTATTGGGCTCTATCATATCTACACTTGAAACTGTATGGAGCCAGCCTCCACCACATCACTTCCTAATGCATTCCATTTGTCAACCACTCAAAAAGTTCATTCTATTATCTCTGTGGCTCATTTGGGCACTCAGTTTGCACCTGTGTCCCCTTGTGCGTGTGTCCCTTGTGTTAAATAGTCTGTCTTTAAGGAAAACTTCCTAACATCTCTGTGACTCATCTGAGTTTCCAGCTTCCACCCATGTCCCCTCGTTCTGTTACTATTCCGTGTGAACATTTCGTCTATGTCCACTCTGTCAAGCCCCCTGAGTATTTTATACGTTCCTATCATGTCCCCCCTCTCCCGTCTTTTTTCTAGTGTCGTAAGGTTCAGTTATTTCAGGCGCTCTTCATATCTCATCCCTCGTAACTCTGGGACGAGCCTCGTCACAAACTTCTGAACCTTTTCCAGTTTCTTTATGTGTTTCTTCAGGTAGGGACTCCATGATGGTGCGGCATACTCTAAGACTGGTCTCACGTAGGCAGTGTAAAGTGCTCACACCTGTGCTTAGTGAGAGGGGACTCTCACGTCTGTCTGTGTGTTTGTGTGTGTGTGTGTGTGTGTACTCACCTAATTGTACTCACCTAATTGTGCTTGTGGGGGTTGAGCTCTGGCTCTTTGGTCCCGCCTCTCAACCGTCAATCAACTGGTGTACAGATTCCTGAGCCTATTGGGCTCTATCATATCTACATTTGAAACTGTGTATGGAGTCAGCCTCCACCACATCACTTCCTAATTCATTCCATTTACTAACTACTCTGACACTGAAAAAGTTCTTTCTAACGTCTCTGTGGCTCATTTGGGTACTCAGCTTCCACCTGTGTCCCCTTGTTCGCGTCCCACCAGTGTTGAATAGTTCATCCTTGTTTACCCGGTCGATTCCCCTGAGGATTTTGTAGGTTGTGATCATGTCCCCCCTTACTCTTCTGTCTTCCAGTGTCGTAAGGTGCATTTCCCGCAGCCTTTCCTCATAACTCATGCCTCTTAGTTCTGGGACTAGTCTAGTAGCATACCTTTGGACTTTTTCCAGCTTCGTCTTGTGCTTGACAAGGTACGGGCTCCATGCTGGGGCCGCATACTCCAGGATTGGTCTTACATATGTGGTGTACAAGATTCTGAATGATTCCTTACACAGGTTCCTGAACGCCGTTCTGATGTTAGCCAGCCTCGCATATGCCGCAGACGTTATTCTCTTTATGTGGGCTTCAGGAGACAGGTTTGGTGCGATATCAACTCCTAGATCTTTCTCTCTGTCTGTTTCATTAAGTACTTCATCTCCTATTCTGTATCCTGTGCCTGGCCTCCTGTTTCCACTGCCTAGTTTCATTACTTTGCATTTACTCGGGTTGAACTTCAACAGCCATTTGTTGGACCATTCACTCAGTCTATCCAGGTCATCTTGTAGCCTCCTACTATCATCCTCTGTTTCAATCCTCCTCATAATTTTTGCATCGTCGGCAAACATTGAGAGGAACGAATCTATACCCTTTGGGAGATCATTTACATATACCAGAAACAGTATAGGTCCAAGGACTGACCCCTGCGGGACTCCACTTGTGACGTCTCGCCAATCTGAGACCTCACCCCTCACACAGACTCGTTGTCTCCTGTTGCTTAGGTACTCCTCTATCCACCGGAGTACCTTCCCTCTCACTCCAAATGTGTGTTCATTTGTGCGTGCAGAATAGAGTTTTAGCTCCTGGACCCCCGCCTTTCTAGCCGCCGGTTGTCTAATACATTGACTTCTGGTATATTTTGCTATCGCATCTTTTAAACTTGTGAATGGAATTTGTCACTACAACCTGCTCCTTAGGTTCATTAACCTGTCCTCTTAAAAATAACGTCGCTTTTGGCCGTATACCAGTATGGCCGAAAGTGGACGTGATTTGAAAATGAAAAAAAAAATGAAAATAAATTTGGGATTTTTGTTTTTCTAACAACAGTAAGTTAAGGGTCCTCTGGTAGGTTAGGTGGGCAGGAAATTCTCATAAAGTTTCAAAACTTTATGAAAAACGTTAATTGAAAGTTTCCTCTCCTAACCTTTCCGAGTAAGCCGGACGACTCAAACAGAAAACGGGACAGTACGTCACTTTTGTGAGTCGATTTCATTTTAAATTCCGTTCATTTTTGGCCCTAGTGCGCATACGAGCCGAAAGTTACGTTATTGTTAAGAGGACGGATTGACCAGTCACGCTAGAAGATAACTTTCTAACATCTCTATGCATCGTCCCAGGCTCAACCTTCCACCCAAACTTGTACAGTACAAAATTTCTTAAATTGTATTAATTTTAAATATTAACTTTTTTTCCTCTCTGCCAGGTTCTAAATATTGTATATTTCCCCTCTCACTAAACACAGACGTCAGCGGCCACTCTCACTAAACACAGACGTCAGCGGCCCCTCTCACTAAACACAGTCGTCAGCGGCCCCTCTCACTAAACACAGTCGTCAGCGGCCCCTCTCACTAAACACAGTCGTCAGCGGCCTCTCTCACTAAACACAGTCGTCAGCGGCCCCTCTCAATAAACACAGTCGTCAGCGGCCCCTCTCACTAAACACAGTCATCAGCGGCCTCTCTCACTAAACACAGTCGTCAGCGGCCCCTCTCACTAAACACAGACGTCAGCGGCCACTCTCACTAAACACAGACGTCAGCGGTCCCTCTCACTAAACACAGACGTCAGCGGCCTCTCTCACTAAACACAGACGTCAGCGGCCACTCTCACTAAACACAGTCGTCAGCGGGCCCTCTCACTAAACACAGTCGTCAGCGGGCCCTCTCACTAAACACAGTCGTCAGCGGGCCCTCTCACTAAACACAGTCGTCAGCGCCCCCTCTCACTAAACACAGTCGTCAGCGGGCCCTCTCACTAAACACAGTTGTCAGCGGGCCCTCTCACTGAACACAGTCGTCAGCAGGCCCTATCACTAAACACAGTCGTCAGCGGGCCCTCTCACTAAACACAGTCGTCAGCGTCCACTCTCACTAAACACAGTCGTCAGCGGCCACTCTCACTAAACACAGTCGTCAGCGGTCACTCTCACTAAACACAAACGTCAGCGGCCACTCTCACTAAACACAGACGTCAGCGGCCACTCTCACTAAACACAGTCGTCAGCGGCCACTCTCACTAAACACAAACGTCAGCGGCCACTCTCACTAAACACAGTCGTCAGCGGCCACTCTCACTAAACACAAACGTCAGCGGCCACTCTCACTAAACACAGACGTCAGCGGCCACTCTCACTAAACACAGACGTCAGCGGCCACTCTCACTAAACACAGTCGTCAGCGGCCTCTCTCACTAAACACAGTCGTCAGCGGCCCCTCTCACTAAACACAGACGTCAGCGGCCACTCTCACTAAACACAAACGTCAGCGGCCTCTCTCACTAAACACAGACGTCAGCGGCCACTCTCACTAAACACAGTCGTCAGCGGCCTCTCTCACTAAACACAGACGTCAGCGGCCACTCTCACTAAACACAGTCGTCAGCGGCCACTCTCACTAAACACAGTCGTCAGCGGCCACTCTCACTAAACACAGTCGTCAGCGGCCACTCTCACTTAACACAGACGTCAGCGGCTTCTCTCACTAAACACAGACGTCAGCGGCTTCTCTCACTAAACACAGTCGTCAGCGGCCCCTCTCACTAAACACAGACGTCAGCGGCCCCTCACACTAAACAGACGTCAGCGGCCTCTCTCACTAAACACAGACGTCAGCGGCCCCTCTCACTAAACAGGCGTCAGCGGCCCCTCTCACTAAACAGACGTCAGCGGCCTCTCTCACTAAACACAGTCGTCAGCGGCCCCTCTCACTAAACACAGACGTCAGCGGCCCCTCTCACTAAACAGACGTCAGCGGCCTCTCTCACTAAATACAGACGTCAGCGGCCCCTCTCACTAAACACAGTCGTCAGCGGCCCCTCTCACTAAACACAGACGTCAGCAGCCCCTCTCACTAAACACAGACGTCAGCGGCCCCTCACACTAAACAGACGTCAGCGGCCTCTCTCACTAAACACAGACGTCAGCGGCCCCTCTCACTAAACAGGCGTCAGCGGCCCCTCTCACTAAACAGACGTCAGCGGCCTCTCTCACTAAACACAGTCGTCAGCGGCCCCTCTCACTAAACACAGACGTCCGCGGCCCCTCTCACTAAACAGACGTCAGCGGCCACTCTCACTAAACACAGACGTCAGCGGCCACTCTCACTAAACACAGTCGTCAGCGGCCACTCTCACTAAACACAGTCGTCAGCGGCCACTCTCACTAAACACAGTCGTCAGCGGCCACTCTCACTAAACACAGTCGTCAGCGGCCCCTCTCACTAAACACAGTCGTCAGCGGCCCCTCTCACTAAACACAGTCGTCAGCGGCCTCTCTCACTAAACACAGTCGTCAGCGGCCACTCTCACTAAACAGACGTCAGCGGCC